CTCTCTCTCTCTCTCTCTCTCTCTCTCTCTCTCTCTCTCTCTCTCTCTCTCTCTCTCTCTTCCATTCGCTTCCCCGCGAATTAAATATATATTAATCCTTTGTTCGACGAAGCTTAACATTTTAATCCCCTATTCAACCGACACAAAGTCGATCACGAGGGTTTACCGGCAAACTTGCCACCACATGTTGAATAGACAACTGCAATCTGAATTACTTACTCCGAAAAGCTCATCGTCACCTCCTGCACCTGAATGTGAATGCTAAGTTACTCAATTGTTCATGGGATTGCATTAACTTCCTGCGCCGGTAGGATTTTGATAACCGTAATCCCCGATCCGTCTAGTCGCGGTTGTACACACACCCATCAAGTTCGCTTTCATAATTAAATCCTTGGCTTTTACACAGGCCTCGATGTTTCAGGCATCAAAAGTGATTGACAGCCTGAGATTTCACCGTCAATTCACATCCCAGACCCAGAATATACCGTTTTCAAGGATTTTTGGAGCTCCCGGATTTGACAAAAATGTGAAAAATTTCGCGTCAGTCATCTGACAAATGCAGATAGCTCCCCTTGGCGTTTTTAATACGAGCAAATTCCAGCTTGAAAAAAAATCCTGGATTATTTTTTTCACCAACACACCCTTCACTGTCTGACAATAGAAATCCAGATAATGTACGCACCCAGTGTTATACACGGAGAGAAATGTTCAGTAAAAATTACGGAACTCTCGCTTCACTCACCGATTACGGAATCGACTCAGAAAATTGAAGTGACGGTATCGTAATTTTTCACAAGAGATTCAGATAAAAATTACGAAACGCTCCGGAAAAATTCCGTGACAGTTCCGGAAATTTTCCTACAACCACATTTCGCTCCGGAATTACGGAAAAGATACGTAATTTTTATTGAATATTTCTCTCCGTGTATCCACACGACAGCAAAATGATATGGAAACTCGTTTCCAAAGGACATATCTCCGAACGATTGACGGAAAAACAGTAATTTCCCCTCGTGATCATTTGACTGCACGCTTCTAACTCATAATTATCGTTCGTGATTACAGGAGTTGGAAAGAAGTTACACATTATCGACCCCGGGTGGTGGTAGCCCGGTTTGTTGTCCGCCATGCAGTCCACCACCAGCTCCAGCCGCGTATATATCGAGTATTCGTGCGTCATCGAGGAAATTTGGTGGCAGTGGACCAACATCACCTGATCGTGATCCAGTTGGTAGACTACTCAGGTAAATAGCTAATACAATGGATAGTGGAGAGATACTGGGAGAGCTCTCAATGAAGTCCTGTGATATTCACAGACGTCTTTGACGCTGACAAGAGCTCTCTCAAATTGCTAATCTTTTGTGTGAGATTGGAAACAGACTGTAAGCTTCTTAGAGAATTCTCTTTGCATTGCAAATACCACTTTGACTTTCCTAGGTGAATGAAAAACAGAGGGAACTCTGTTGGACGTGTTTGCAAGAAGGCCATATGATCGTGGACGACCAGAAATATCATAGCTTATTTAAGCAAATTAGTAATTTACTTCCGAATGGAGTTTCTGGGATGATGTATTTTGAATTCAATTCAATGATTCATTGAGTTCAGCATTACCCCAGCATTGGTAGCCAACATTGCCCCAATGTTGGCAGCCGACATTGCGTTCATGTTGGCAGCCAACATTACCCCGACATTTCTCTAATGTTGACAGTCAACATTATCACAATGTTGACAGCTGACATTACCGTAACTTCGGCAGCCAACATTACTTCAACATTGACAGCCGACATTACCTTAATGATGGCAGCCAACATTACCCTAACATTGCCCCAATATTGACAGCCAACATGGCTCCAACATTACCTTAATGTTGGTAGTCAACATAAACCCAACATTGGCAACCCAATTATCTTAACTTCGGCAGCCAACATTACCTTAACATTGTCCCGATGTTGACAACTAACATGGCTCCGTCATTGACAGCCAACATTACCTTAATGTTGGTAGTTAACAAAACTCCAACATTGGCAACCCAATTATCTCAACTTCGGCAGCGAACATTAGCCTAACATTGTCCCGATGTTGACAACCAACATGGCTCCAACATTGACAGCCAACATTATCTTAATGGGTAGCACGTCTAAAAAACTGCCGTCAAAGCAACTCCGCCCTGTCCGCGACGTGTTATTTTGGAGGTTTTTTTTGACGGAGTAGTTTTTAAATGGAATTTTTAGTCACGGACCCATCTTAATGTTGGTAGCCAACATTACCTCAACATTGGCATCCAACATTGCTCCAGCGTTAAAATTTTTCGACTCCTCCCAGAATATTGATCTAAAAATAATTTTTTTCAACAACAAATGTTGCAATCAATCTCCCGATCGAGCTCGATCACGATGGCATTGGGAAGAATATTCTAAATCACAATTGGATTCCCACAAAAATAGCATATTCCACCACCTGACGTAAAACTCACTTACCCCGCCCCAAAAATTGGAACCTCCAAACTTGCCGAACCCCCGATGTTTTCCTTCGGACGCAAAAAATCGATCTTACCCCTTTCAAAACCCCATCTCTCATTCTTTCAGATACTTAAAAATGTACTACCGCGAATTAGGAACGAGGGATCCCCGTCACCTGCCCCCCTGGATCCTCCCCCTGCCCCTGGGCACCCTGTGCCCCGCTCACTTCCAGCCGCACCTCCAACTCATGCACAAGAACGACCAGGAGCACCGCCTCGAGTCCATAAAAATCGACCAAATATTTGCAACAGTGAGACTGAGCGATGGCCTTCTGTCGGAAGCCCCGCGACGTGTGGCTATCGAGGGTGGTCCAGGTAGTGGCAGAACAACCCTCTGCATGAGACTCCTCCACCAATGGGCGAGCAAAGACGACGGCCCAGCCCTGGCCTTCATAATTCCCCTCCGTGAATTGCGCGGTACATCAGTACTCAATTACCTGACACGTGAATTTTTATCAAAAAGTGCATCACTCACTGAGGCAATGGCACAGGTATGGCGCACCCTGCATTTACTCGAGGATCGAGTGCTCTTCATTCTTGATGGTTACGACGAGTGTCCGGGTGGTAGGCAATCGCTGGCCGATGCCATTGACTTATTGGAGGCGCGATTATTTCCGGACGCTAGAATTCTCGTAACGTGTTCACCCAACAATTGGCCAAGCCTGTCACCAATGGTACAGCGTAGAATTCACTTGGCTGGATTGGAATGGCCCCATGTCGAGCGACTATGCGTTGCCTATTTCATTCACAATAATTTGTCAGAGCGAGCCTGTGATTTTCTCGAGTGCCTCAGCCTACAGTCGCAAACAATCAAGGAGCTCGTGCAACATCCACTTGGTTGGATAATGCTTTGCACACTTTATCAGGATTGCGGTACATTACCAGTGCAGCCCAGTGCTGTTGTACAGGAGGGAGTTAAATCTATAATACGAAAATGCCTTGACAGACCATTAGCACCTGACGAGGAGTTGCCGTCGCACTGCAGAAAACGGCTTGAGGATTTTGGCAAATTGTCACTATCGGCGCTGAGGGAGGGCCGATGCTGTTACACTGAGTCGGAGGTACGTACACGCGGTGGTGGAATTGAAATTCTGAGGCTGGGATTTCTCTCCAGGGGCTTCACGTTTGGACAGAGAAGAAAAATAGAACAGTACACACCCATTCATGCGGCTGTTGCTGAATTTCTCGCTGCTTACTATCTTGCCTCGATATCACAGTATGCAAATATACTGAGGAGGGAAATTGAGGGCTTGCCGAGTGGGATCATTGGGTATCTGGCGGGATTGCTTGGGCCGAGGACTCATCTTGTGTTGAATCAGTTGTGTCCACTTGAGGTGCCTTCCAGGACTATTTTCTCGCTTCTCAAGGCCGCCGGAACGTCCGATGGCAATATCTTGGCGGTTTGTCGACTACTTGGGGCAACTCCTGGCTTTGGACCTGTTCCCAGTGAACGACCACCAGCGCCGCTTGTCCAGACGTCACCCCTCGAGCTGGAGGGCTGGTCCAGGATACTGGGCAGCACAGCCTGCACCCTCGAGGCACTTGAGGTCGTGTTCCAGGTGGAGAGGAGCGCTGATCCCACTTATCTCAATGACTTTTTCAAGGCTCTGGCGGATAATGAGAGTGTTAAACTTGTGAGGATTACTTCGTTGTTGGGGCAGGAGTTCCCTGCGGACGAGGCGCAACGGCTGGCTGGACATCTCAAGAGTGTTCTCAGCAAGAAGAGGCTCTATGATTTTGAACTTGTCATCACGTGCTTGGAGGAGTCGGCGCACGACAGGTGAGATTTTTTTACGTTAATATTTACATAAAATATTTGTTGCGTTTATTGGGGCTTTATGTTGAAGGAATTTACACAGTACTAGGGGAGGGTAAGGTAAAATAGACACTTTTGACTTTTTGAAAAATATTCATAACTCAGAAACAGATTTATCAATTGAGCTCTGTCTAAGCTCGTCACAAAGAGGAATCATTGTTTTTCAAATGAAAAATAAAATCATTCCGTTTCATAAACAATTCAACACGTCATGAATATTTCAAAAAAAGTCAAAAGTGTCCGTTTTACTCTACCCTGTACGAAAAGATTTATGTTGGAGGAATTTTTTTGGAGAGAGGTTTTTGTGGAGAGAATTTTTTTTTTGCACTCTTCCGATTTTTTTTTCTTGTGCGTAAAGTAAAATTTTTAAATCACACTTTCCACAAATTGTGATGAAAAATAGGATTGGAATAAGTTCTTGAGGGGGCGAAAAATACTTTTTGTTACTATTATTATATAGCGTGAGGCCATTGACAGTGAGACAGAAAATGGGAATTTTTTTTTTATTTTTCCTTCTGTTTGTTATTAAAGTAAAAAGTACCATTTTTGCATAAAATGGAGGGTTTCGAGATCGCCTAGAGGTCTATCCTCATGTGTATAATTTATTCTAGATTTAATAAAGCGATTATTCATCTATCTCATCATTAATTTCACAAAGGAAGAGTAATGTTTCAATTTTTTTCGTGAATCATTCATATTTTTATTGTTATTTTTGGTGAGAAACATTTTTTTTCAACTTTTTCCTTTCATTTGTTATTAAATAGAGGTTTTCTAAAGCGCCTGGAGGTCTCCCCGTCTAAATAATGTATTCTGTATTTGATGAAACGATTATTCATCCAAATTATTCTTCACAAAAGAAGAATAATTTGTCATTTATTTTAACAATAGAAAATGGCAGACGAAAATTTTCCATTTTTTAATGAATTATTCAGATTTTTATTACGATCTTGCATGAGCCCATTCCCAATGAGTCAAAAAATGTGAAACATATTTTTTTATTTTTCCTTCTATTTGTTATTAATGTAAGAAGTCACGAATTTTGCTTAAAATTGAGGTTTTCTAAACCGCCGCAGGTCCTCCCCATCTCTATAATTTATTCTGTATTTGATGAAGTGATTATTCATCCATCTCGCCATCGTTTCCCAAAAGAAGAATATTGTGTCATTCACTCAAATGGGAGAAAAAGGCAGAAGAAAAGTTCAATTTTTTCGGACAGCATCAAGCGAACGGATTATCTCCTCATATTTTTCATCACACGACGACATGGGATATTATTGTTGAGGATTGTCTTTCATTCGAGACAGGGTAGCCCCGAAAATGAGGGGATCAGCGCCGTCTCCGAGTTTATTTCAAAACTCCAGAGAGAATTTTACGGATAAGAGGTTCGATGATAAAACGAGAAAAATGAGATGGGGATATTGGCGAGCTGGTCTGTTTGGGAGAGTTATTCCAAGGGATATGTGCGGTTTTTTTCGGGGTCCTTTTCATAGCTCTCACATTTTCAATCTATCGTAGTCTCGCGAACCTTCATTTCGATGGAACAACAATGGAAGGAAATACGTAAGCCCTCGTATATTGAGTTTTACGTCACAATATTTTTGTCGTGCCACAACCGAGTTACATATTCTATTTTATTTATTTTTAAGAATCACTGCAAATTATGAAACTTGACGGTTAAAAGTTCCCCCTGGAATAACTGTATTCATGAATTTATGTAGTCGAAAAATTGAAATGTCGGATCAAAGTTACAAAGTAGCTTCTGGGGGAGGGACAAAAAATCGAAGGGGGAATAAACTCCAGTGGGCAAAAAGGAGAGACCAGTGCTGAAGCGTGGGAAGCTGAAAACTTTGCCGACGGGTGAAACTCAACGAAACTTTACGTCTACCAGGCGACAGGGGACACCAGTGAGAATGAAATCGAAAGCCAAAACTCAATACACAGTGCGAAAATTTATTTATCCGAAAAACAGGGACTTTGATTTCAAACCGTGGGGGGTTTATTCGTGTGCACTTGACAGACGTCGAAAACAATTTGCAGGGGAAAAAATATCGTGTGAATTCCCCTCTCACTCTGCTCGAAAATCTAAAGGCTATAAGGGCTGGGCAATTTGGGAATAACTCCCGGGGAGCAGTAGCTCACTTCAATAATTTGTAGATCGTACGCTCTACACTTTTACACGGTGAGAAATATTCAGTAAAAATTACGGAACTCTCACTTCACTCATCGATTACGGAATCGACTCAGAAAATTTAAGTGACGGTATCGTAATTTTTCGAATAGGATTCCCTGACAGTTCCGTAAAATTTCCTATAATCACATTTCTGAAAAATACGTAATTTTTATTGAATATTTCTCTCCGTTTAGCCTATTCATCTCTCGCCTTCGAAAAAAATGTGCCATCAGCACCTCATAACAATTCCTGTACGATGGATTTTCGAATGTTGAGTCTCGTCGCCATTTTCATTCCTATTTTTTTCTTTTCTCTTCTCACGTCTAATTATCATCAACATCAAATCACATGTACACACATGTTCCTGATGGAGATAATATGATACTGTAGAAGAGAAATGTATTCTAGACTGAAGGCCCTCGGGCAATGGGCACTTGTAAGAATTCACGTCTCTTGCGATAAATAACGTTAACAGTTGAAGTTATAGTGTGAGGACAGTATAAAAATACAATTGGGAATATTTCTGAAGGGTGCGTATAATTGTCGAGGGTTCGATCGCGCCATTTTCAATTCTCGAGGTACGAACGCACCTCGGGCAATTTTTTTTTAACCATTTCTCCGCCTCTCGCTCATTTCAAGGAGAAGTTGAGCTTTGAATGGCTTGAGAAGAGAATTTACTGGAGACAAGATACCGTTTGAATTGTTGTGCACGGTAGTTCATTTTCCTCAGCTGTATTTCATCAGAGTTTCTTTGTACTCCGACTCAATTCAGACTTGAGTTTAAAAACCTTTTCACTTCGTCAAGCACTTCTTTGATTCGTGGCATTTATTACTGACAATAGGGCTAATGACATTCTTCGAAAATTTTGAATCAACTTTTGTGGCGCTATTATTTATGCAGACGATAAACATTTGTGTGATGGGTTTGCTGAATGCAATTTTCGAAAATCTATCGTGCACTGGTAAAATTTTTTGTCTCAAACGTCAAGGAATTTCGACATTGAAAATTCAGAATTTCGTGGAATAATCAAAGAGAACTGTAAATTTCATACGTTTGCCAGGATGTTAGCGATTTTTTAGGGGATTGAGGAAGTCCTGAGGAATATACTCCAATAGGAATCGTTTTGTGTTTTTAAATACTTCATGTTGAAAATTTTTTTTTTTGCGATTATTCAACTATCTCATCATTGTTTTACAAAAGAATAATTTTTCATTTACTTTTTCTCAATTCGTTTATTCAGACTTGAGTAATTCATTCAAATTTTTTCGTTCTGTTTGTTATTAAATTACAAAGTACGATTTTTGCTTAAAACAGAGGTTTCCGAGATCGCCTGGAGGCCCTCCCCATCCATTTAATTCATTCTGAATTTGATAAAAGGATTATTGATTTATCTCATCATCGTTTCACGAAAGAATAATTTATAATTTATCTAGACGGGGCAGTTTAAACTAAAAAAACACCAGTATAACGATACACTTTACGTTTCTTTTTTCTCAATTTGTTTATTCAGACTTGAGTGCGTGGTTAACGCACTTTGTCGTGGTTTGAGTAATGCATCGTCCCACCTGGCGCGACTGGTACTCGACATGAATCTGTCCGGTGATCAAGTCAGTAGGGTCTGCACGGCACTGCGCGATTGCGTTCAAGTGCAGGCACTGCACTTGCCCCATTTGAGCTGCGGTTGCGAGGGTCTGGCTTCGGTTGCTGAACTACTCAAGGAGAGGCCACTTCTAGCACTCAATCTTGCCGGAAGTTGGGGCGCCAAAAATGAGGATCCATCGAGCTCCGGTATCAGCATGGGTAATATCATTAGTCCATACGTTATTAAGTCTTTAAGGGATAATTCAATTACTTTGGCATAATTTTTTTTCCCGGTGGAATGCGCCTACCTGTACACCATCCCTGCGGTTGTCAAGACTGATCCAAAATACAGATGTTATTCTGCATTTGTCGAATACTCATTCAGTTTTTGTGAATAATCGATTTGCCAAGTTACAGTATTTTGAGATATCTCCGAATCTAAGGGAGATATCGAAATTTTCGTAATGACCTTTTTTGTAGCCCTCCATTCGCTCTACAAAAAAGGTCACGACAAAAATTTTGCCATCTCCCTTAGATTTCGAGATATTCAATGAAAATGTGATATTTAATGCGTCGTAATGAAGTAATGCATTGAAAATCTAAAAAATTTAAACAATTTTCATTGTTAATTCATGAAAATATCCAAGTCAAGAATGAAAAGTCCAAGCTCGGGTATCAGTATGGGTAATATCATTAGTCCATACGTCATTAAGTCTTTAAGGGATAATTCAATTACTTTGGCATAATTTTTTTTCCCGGTGGAATGCGCCTACCTGTACACCATCCCTGCGGTTGTCAAGACTGATCCAAAATACAGATGTTATTCTGCATTTGTCGAATACTCATTCAGTTTTTGTGAATAATCGATTTGCCAAGTTACAGTATTTTGAGATATCTCCGAATCTAAGGGAGATATCGAAATTTTCGTAATGACCTTTTTTGTAGCCCTCCATTCGCTCTACAAAAAAGGTCACGACAAAAATTTTGCCATCTCCCTTAGATTTCGAGATATTCAATGAAAATGTGATATTTAATGCGTCGTAATGAAGTAATGCATTGAAAATCTAAAAAATTTAAACAATTTTCATTGTTAATTCATGAAAATATCCAAGTCAAGAATGAAGAGTCCAACGTCAATAAAAATATTGACCAACCAAACACTTCCCAATCAGAATTCCTCCTCCCCAATAAAAACGCCGAGAAGTCTAATTAATGCATCGGATCATTCGGCGGGCCTCCGATATCTCACAATGCCAACAGAAATTCAATATTCGTTTCATTCATTCCTCCTCTTTTTTTCGTTTTTAATAACCATCACAAATCTATCACATCACGACTGAATGGGCTGGTGTTGGCTGGCCGATAAAATCGATGGGACTCGTCTCTCCGCGTGAAAACGATGAAAATTCCTAAGGAATAGTTTCGCCAAATCCCCGAGACTCCCTCAGCATTAAATATCCGTAATACTGTAGCACTCGGCCATCAGCGATTCACCCCGCGCAATTAAGCTAATTGCCATTGTACAATTGCACTTAATGTTATTTCATTTTTACACCCATTAGCATATTCACCTGGATAAAATTATTGTAATTATTTTCTACATACCAGAGGCTGGACTATTTGCCCTAGAATTTTGTTCTAAATTGAGTCACGAAGTTACTCGAAACATCTTGCCCAATTTTGCTGGAAATATCGGCACACGTTTTCACTGTTGATAATGAAAATATAAAACAATTTTCACAGGTTCTGGATCGGGTTCGGGTAGCAGCGGTTGTGCATCTAGCACACTCGGTACACTACCTTTGAACAATCGTTGCTACTCGTCTCTGCCACGTGGTGCCCTGGCTGCCTACGGTAGTTTAACAAGACCAGCTACTCTTCCACGTTTACCACTTGGTATTGGACTTGGTACCAGTGGTAATGGTAATGGTACATTGCCGCAGAACGATCGAGACAGGGACAGTAGCAATGGCAGCTCGAAGAGAAATAGTGATAGTGTACTGTGCCATCGTTTACCACTTATGCATCCACTTCCAACGTGCGATGTTGCTTGCCATCAGGGAACTGGTTTTCACGAAATTTTCAGTGCCATCAGGTAAGAAAAAAAAATTAATTTATCTAGCATTTTACACAAAAATGTGAACATCGCGATTTAACGCTAAATGTGAACATCGCGATTTAACGCTAAATGTGAACATCGCGATTTAACGCAAAGTGTGAACATCGCGATTTAACGCCAAGTGTGAACATCGCGATTTAACGCAAAGTGTGAACATCGCGATTTAACGCAAAGTGTGAACATCGCGATTTAACGCCAAGTGTGAACATCGCGATTTAACGCAAAGTGTGAACATCGCGATTTAACGCAAAGTGTGAACATCGCGATTTAACGCCAAGTGTGAACATCGCGATTTAACGCAAAGTGTGAACATCGCGATTTAACGCAAAGTGTGAACATCGCGATTTAACGCCAAGTGTGAACATCGCGATTTAACGCAAAGTGTGAACATCGCGATTTAACGCAAAGTGTGAACATCGCGATTTAACGCCAAGTGTGAACATCGCGATTTAACGCAAAGTGTGAACATCGCGATTTAACGCAAAGTGTGAACATCGCGATTTAACGCCAAGTGTGAACATCGCGATTTAACGCAAAGTGTGAACATCGCGATTTAACGCTAAATGTGAACATCGCGATTTAACGCCAAGTGTGAACATCGCGATTTAACGCCAAGTGTGAACATCGCGATTTAACGCAAAGTGTGAACATCGCGATTTAACGCAAAGTGTGAACATCGCGATTTAACGCCAAGTGTGAACATCGCGATTTAACGCAAAGTGTGAACATCGCGATTTAACGCAACGTGTGAACTTTGCGTTTTCTCGCGAAGATCGTCATTTCAGTAATTTACAGAAAGATGTTGACATCGCGACTTAACGCAAAGTGTGAACTTCGCGATTTCTCAAATGGAATTGGCTCAAATGAAAGCTCTGAGGTTCCGATTACAAAAGTATAAAAACATTTCACCAAAAAAAATACGAAGGTCACGAGGGTCATGACCACGAATTTAAAAAATTGAATAAAGTATTTTTAAAAATCGAATAAAAAAACAGATGACCCGATTCATATTGAATTCGGCCAAAAATTAATTATCACATAGATATTTCGAACCCTGAAAAATTATTCCCATTAATCTGAAACATGAGGAATAACTCGGGAATAAAATGGCAACCGAGGTAACTCGTTTTGAATATTGGAAACCCTAGTACGTGGAGGAGTGTACAATTTTAATTAAAAACGAGCTTCCATCCCGAGCTCGGTCTCTACCAATAGAAAATATAAAAACTTGGCTTCTGAATGTACATCATTTTTATTTTATTTTTAATTCTATTTCTCCTCGGAAGAGACCGTCCTGGAATGACGTCTGTCTGACAGACGCGACATTTAATATTTGTCCTGTTGAGTTAATTGAAAAATTATGCAGCCTCTCGAATAAATGATGATATAATGGGAGAGAAAAAAATCTCGAAATGGCTCGAGTGAATTTCACCCTCGTGAGGAGGGTTTTCTGGTGGAACATCGGCATTTGGGTCAGCATATTACGGTATCTGGGGCTACCCTGCGTGATCTGCACAAAAAAAGGGTGGCTATTGGGTGAAAAAGGGGAGAAGGGTGACGAAAAAATTGGTCTCAGTGAGAGTTTGTATCAAAGAGTGGATGAATTCATCTCTGAAAATAGTCAGCGAAATTTAAAACGTGAAAGTCATTCCTCAAATTCAAGTGAACACATTTCCCACTGAAAGAAGTAGCGGATTAAAAAGTTAGGGGATTCCCCGCAAAACCTTCATCCTTTTTATCCCCTTGTCTGCTGTGCTTTATTTTTCTCATCTTTTCCGCTCTTTTCTCCTCCGAGTAATGGAAAATACACGCTGCAGTGACTAAGTACGGAAAGGGTGTCATTTTTAATTTGTCGAATACTCATTCAGTTTTTGTGAATAACCGATTGGTCAAGTTATTTGATAAAAACCCCAAGAAATTTGAGACGTTTGCCAACCATATCGTGAAGGGTTGCCAACGTTGCAATACTTGGGTGAGGAATACAATAGCATCCGTCTGCGTCCCGATGCGAACGTGACAGCTGTAGTTAAACATCGGAGCTTTCATTCAAGCCACAATTGTCCCTAGGTCACTGGTTATTTTAGAGAGGAATTTGAAACGTCGGAGTCATTCCTCAAGTTCAAGTGGACACATTTCCCGACTGAAAGAAGTAGCGGATTAAAAAGTTAGGGGATTCCCCGCAAAACCTTCATCCTTTTTATCCCCCTGTCTGCTGTACTTTATTTTTCACATCTTTTTCGCTTTTTTTTTCCTTCGAGAGATGGAAGATACACGCTGTAATGACCTCCGCCGTCTGAGTTTTCCCCGAGTGCTTGGACTCGTGGATTTGCTCTTCTTGCTGTACGACAAAAGCTTTCAGCTTGCTCGGCACAACGGCTCCACCTAATTATCTCTCTCCACGTACTCCATATATTTTTTTGTATTGCCTTTTTTTTTATTTCTTCCACTGTGTTTCACCGTATTCTTATACCCCCGAGAATTCGAGATACGTGGGAACTAGTGAAACTCGATTTACACTTTTACATTTTAATAAAATTTATATCAACCCCATTGTTGGCGATGAGAAAATGTTGAGACGTGGCTTAATTGAAGATTTTAACTTGGGCCCGGAATTTTATCCTCTCTTTTATCTGCGGAAATGAAAATTGTAGTGACTTTATTCCCAAGAATTTCAACTTCTTGAGGGAAAAAAGAAATGCAAATTCTAGTGACTTTATTTCCAGGAATCTCAACGTCTTGAGAGGAAACAAAAAAAATTGGAATTCGAATTACGTAGTTTATCTTCAGATTAAAAATTTTTACACTTCATAAAAGAATTCTCGAGGAATTCATTAACATGGAGATTGTAGTGACTTTATTTCCAGAAATTTTAACTTCATGAGAAAAAATAAAAAAATTCAAATAGCGCAATTTATCCTCAAAGTAAAAAAATTTACACTTTATAAAAAAATCGCGATCAACCTTTCAATATTCTAATAAAATTCATGTTGACACGTGATTTAATTAAACATTTCAACTGGCGTTCAGAATGTCCTCTTCCCTTCCGTCACCCCGAAAAATGCAAATTACTGTAACTTCATTCAAACTTCTTGAGGGGAAACAGAAAAGTTGGGAATTCAAATAGCGCAATTTATTCTCAAATTACAAATATTTACACTTCATAAAAAAATCCTTGACAAGTCCATTAGCATTCAGAAAAATGCAGATTGTAGTGAGTTTATTTCCAGAAATGTCAACTTCATGAAAGAAAACAGAAATTCTTATTAATATTCAATACATAAGACCCTGGCCCTTATGATCCCAAAACGCGATCAACCCTTCAGTATTCTAATAAAATTCATGTTGACACGTGATTTAATTAAACATTTCAACTGGCGTTCAGAATGTCCTCGTCCCTTCCGTCACCCCGAAAAATGCAAATTACTGTAACTTCATTCAAACTTCTTGAGGGGAAACAGAAAAGTTAGGAATTCAAATAGCGCAATTTATCCGCAAATTACAAATATTTACACTTCATAAAAAAACCCCCCGAGGAATCCATTAGCTAGGATGATCACCCCCCGAGTCTATTGAGAAGTTCTGCATCACGATAAAAGACAATTGCCCGAGGGAGCCCAGTCTATATCCCCCGGAACTTAGTTACACTGTCTACCAGACTGTGAGACACAGACAGGATCGATACACAATACCCCATTCTTCCGTTACAGAGAGCCAAATTGCAAGCTCAGGTCCCTGAACGTCTCCAAGTGCCTCCAGGGTGGTCTGGATGCTGGTTGTCTGGGTGAGACAATCAGACGTGCAAGAAATTTGGATGCCGTGAGGGCTGCCGGTGCCTCTAGGCCTGTGGATGTTATGCCACTGGTGTTGGCGCTTACCGAGGCACCTTGTCTACAATTACTCGATCTCGCTAGTCCACGTCTCGCTATGGATGATCATCCATCGAGATTGTTGTGTCATGCACTTGCTAGAAACTCGACTCTACGGCTTCTCAGCTTGGAGGGATGGACTTTCAGAATAGAGGTAAGAACATTATGTTATCTCTCTATTATCTTTTTCCGAAGAATCTAAATGGGCGCCAGAGAATTTTTAAACGGAATCATCAAACCTGAAGTGCTCTGAAAATTCAAGAAAATGATGGAAAGTTTGTTCATTTTCTATGAATACGAGGAAACAAGTTTTAAGTGCTCTGATGAGAATAAATAATTTCAAGAAATGTTCAAAAATACGAGGTGGTGGACAGATTTAGTGCCGCCATCTTGGATACTCCCTCCCCCTGTGGGAACGGGCTTCAAAGATGGCGGCGTTGCCACCTCGCATTTTTAAACATTTCTTAAAATTATTTATCCTCTTCAGATCGCCGTTCAATTCACGTCATTGTTTTCTATAAACGGAACAAATTTTTTAAACCATCTTTCAAATTTTTCCACCCATTTCTGGCTGAGAATTCATGACCCAAAGTTTTCTTCGCATTTCCGTCTTTTTTGTAGTCCCAAAAATTCTTTAAGTATAATGTTCTTTTTTTATTGGTTAAATATAATGTTATGACCTCCGAAAAATTAATCTATCCATTCCTTAATTTTAATAATTAATTGAACGCAGAATATTTTTAATGACAAAAAAATCGGATAAATCTCTTTTGAATTACTTTCCCTCTCATTCTCTCGTAACCCCGGCAATATCGTGAGGGATTACACCCCGCAGAGAAACAATATCCCGTAAGCAAACGACGTCCAGACGTAGACTAATGGAAAACTGAGCCGTTAGCAAGCTCATGTAAATCCCGTTACGGTTTGAAATTCACTATCGTGCGTGACATCCTCAAACTACTGGAATATTTCACGTGTGATCCACCACGCGGTAATTTTTCGAACATCATGTAAAGCTATTCTCCCAACGACCTGCCTAATTCCCATGCCAATGAATAATCATCGATACCAATGTTCCAAAAATGATAATTAACGATGTTGCCTAATTACGAATCACACTTGCCGTCATTTACTCCTGAAAATGATGCCAAACGGCTGTGGGGAGCGGATTAAAACAAGTCCTCGGAATTTTTAATGAATATATTACACTGAATTTCGATATAAATTCAATGGGAAACTTGGGACAGAGGGATCCGTGATATTCGGTGTAATAATTCCAAAGTTTTCCATCGAAATTCCAAGTGGCATAACCCGGGTTTACCATAGCGTCAGCTCTCGGGGGAACGGAAAACCCGAAAACTCGGGGAATCCTCATCTGCAGAGTTGAGAACGTGGTAATTGAGGAGTGCTGTTCACTTTGCTTCCATTTTCAGTTGTTGCATATATACACGACAAATGCAGGGTAATGTAACAATGCTCGAGATGGAGAAGCCGATTTAGCTGAATAAAGTTGAAAGTCGAAAGTTGAAAAATGCAAATGGAAGAATCCTTTTCCTTTTTCCACAATTTGATCTTCTATTTATTCATTTCATCCATTTCTTTCCTAATGACAACCGCTCCGAGCAACTTTCATGGGATTAAAAATATTGAGATGCCTCGGGAGATGAAAAGAACTACTAGAATGAGGGAAAAACTTTGCGTCATGAATTCTTAGCCAACAGGGGGTGAAAAAATCTGAAAGATTGCTTAAAAAATTTATTCTTTTTATAGAACACGATGGAGTGAGTTGAACGGGGATCAGAAGAGGGTAAATAATTTAAGAAATGTTTAAAAATGCGAGGTGGGGGCGCCGCCATGTTTAAAACCCCTTGCGACAGAGGGAGGGGATATCCAGACAAGATGGCGGCGCCCACAACTGTTACCCACTTCGCATTTTTTAACATTTCTTAAAATTATTTATTCTCTTCAGATCATGTTCAACTTGTTTCAAACAATTCTTAAAAAAGGAACAAATTTTTTAAACTCTCGTGCACATTTTTTCATCATTTTGGTGGTTGACAATTCACGACGCAGTTTTTTTCGCATTTCAATAGTTTTTAAAATTATAAAATTCATAAATTAAAAAATTCTTCAATGACGAAATTCCGCTTTAATCGTTTTCTAACAATTTCATCTTTCATTCACCCATTTTATTAATTTAATAAAATGGGGTAAAATGGGTAATTTTATTTTGTTTGTGCAGTAAATTTACATTAAAAATTATAAATTCGATTTTCTTCACATAAATTTAAAAATTACAGCAATGAAAAATTCCGAACATGAAAGAAAATCATATATTCAATGAACTTACGAATTGTGAAAAACTTCCATTAGAAAATAAAAAAAAAATTTTCTCCAATCTCTAGGAGTCGGATACATTATCAGTATTCTCAGAGTTGTTGACGTGCACGAGTGTCCGTGAATTGAGCCTGTGCAATGCCCGTCTGCATTTAGCAGTCCACGAGGGTCCACTCTCGCGATTAGGTAGACGAGACGATGCTGGAGCTGAACTGCTTCGTGCAGCACCACCACCCGCCTGTCCAACGATAGTTTTCCTCCGTCTGGCAGGCTTTCAAGTGAGTAGACCCATTCCCAAGATCCAGTAAATAGCGCTCCCCCAGAACAGAAGAGCGACAGTATTAAACTTGCCACAGCTAAGATACATCGATCAGAGCCCCATTGAAATATCTCTTCCTCTTTCATCCCCCGATTTGCCTGTCACTTCTCCGAATGAAGAATAAAAAATTCTCGAGTGAAAATTTCCCCTCAAATTTTCTTTTTCAATGTTTATTTTGCGGGGGCAATTTTTCGGGATTAAATTTGAGAAAAATTAATCTCTCAGTTATTAAATTATACATTTGTCTCTGGATTTTTTAAATTCATCAGTTGTTTAATAAATTAAATCTCTTCTCCAAATGAAGAATAAAAATTTATCGAATGAAAACTTCTCAAATTTCCTTTTTTAATACTTTTTTTTGGTGAAATTTTCGGGATTAAATTTGAGGAAAATTAATCGTTTTGGAGAGATATGTAGCAAATTTTTCTGAATTGCTAGAATCCCTTCATTTTCGTGTGGTCTCCAACTTCAACAAAAACTATTTCTACCTTTATATTACCCTATTGTCTCAATGTCCCAGTGAATTACACATCTTTCTGAAATGAAATCTCATTAAAAATGTTTTTCGAATTAAATCTCTTCTCCGAATGCAGAATAAAAACACCTCGACCGAAAACTTCTCAAATTTCCTTTGTTAAACCTATTTTTTACTAGAGACGAAAGACCATTGGGATTACGTCATCCATCGATTAATTTTTATACCCCAATGAGATTGAGTTTGACAACCGCAGGACAATGAATGCATTTACCCCGATTATCAAGTTTCGTAATTAGTCGATGGAGGGAACAAAGGGCCGAACGAATTGGTGCACGACAGATAAGCCCCAGAATCCCTTCATCCCCCTCAAGATACCCCCGGAGAACTTTATACCCTGACACACGAGAGACTTCTCTAATGCCACTGTATTGTCACAAACAATCCACAATTCCATCGCATTGCGTTCAATTAATTCGTACCTCGTGCCTGAGTCACATGTTCACATTATACTGGCTCTTGTCTCCGGGGAAATCAGGTGTAATTCACTTGAAGAAGAGAGATTGACGTTTACATCGGCACTGATTTTATTTCTTCCCTCGGCCATTCAATTTTATGCAGAAATGAGAGACAGAAATGAGCGATTGAAATTTCATGAGGGAACAATCTGACATTGTCTGACAAATTCATAATTCAAAGAATTAAAAGAATAAATTGGCATAGTTTATATTATATATTTAATATTCATTTTTTAATCACGCAGGTTTCAGTTAACGACAGACTGGCACTACGTGGACCTCTCCTGCTTCCCTTTTTAGCTGGATTCACAGCTCTGAGTGAACTAGACTTGTCCCTTGATAAATCAGAGATAGGAGGCAGCAGTGGCTCTCTCCTCTTCATCGACGACAAGATCCTCCAGCAATTCTTCTCGTCCCTCTCGGCCCACTTCAAGACCCTGCAGACCCTGAAGATTAATTACTGGAGGATCAACCTCGAAGACACTGATAAAACAATGAGACAGGTCTCCAAACACCTGAAGACCTCGAACATAAGCTTCGTCAAGGCCAACGGATTGATCGTGACGGATGGCGTTAAGAGGCTGCAGGTGGAGCATCTTTTTGTACAAACGTTATTGGCCAATTTGCAGTGCCTGACGTGGCTGTGTCTCGATGGAGTCAAATTAAACGAGAGCCAGTGCACCAGCATTGGTAAGTGGATAAGGGAGCGTTATCCTGGGGTTTTACTCGAGATAAGTGCCAAGGATATTCAGGTCAAATCTATTAAGGCTCTTGTTGCTGCTGTTGAGGAGGGCGGGAGGGCTGAGGTTGGGTATATTGGGGGGTCGACTTGTCGAATCAAAGTTAATAAACTGCAGAAGAATTCTAAAACGAAGAAGAAGTGAGGGGTCGAAGGTGATGATCACGATGGTCGACATTCAGGAAACACTTTTGAGGCGAGGGCCTGACTTTTTTGGGAGAATTTATACTCCTGTTGTGATGTGGAATGAAGCTTATTGGAGGCAGGGGTGGCTTGTTGTTGGAAACATTGGGACTCGAGGCAAATGGGTTTGAACGAGGAGAGAAAGTTTTGGGAATTCTTATTCCACTTCATTACAGCATTTTTTGGATTGCTTTCGTGCACTTGGCAAGTGCACGAGCTTGGAGAATGACGTGGAAATTTGTGCCAAAAAATATATATTATTCGATGAGATATACTCAATGGAGATATTCCGCTTGCAAGTTGTTTTATTTTACGTGTGGGAAAATTTTATGGGGAATCTATTGCTTTTGCTAGGAAGTTCTATAGAATTTTACAAAAAATTAATTATTATTACTTTAGAATTAAATTAGAATCAAATTATTTGTTATTTGAAACTAAATTAAATTTTAAAATTTTATTTTTTGTCATTGAACAGATAAAATTGCGCAGATGTTGATTTTTTTTTAATAATTATTGGGCATGAAAATTACTGTTTTAAAAATTACAAAAAATTGGAAGAAAATATAAAATTCATTGATTTTTGTCGATGAAATTCTCAATATAAATGGAATTTTCTCGTGAAGGCTAGATTTTTCTCATACGTATTTTGTTTTCGTTAAATTAAGGAATGATTATCCGAGGAATTATTTGTAAATAAAAATGATTTCTAGTTTTATATTACCTTATTGTATTAATCTCTCAGTTAATTGTAGATTTGTCTCTGTATTTTTTTAAATCATCAGTTTTATAAATTATTCGAATAAAACGAATGATATTCGATGAGGCTGTTACAAGTATAGACTACGTATTGTTGCTAGATGGAGTATGTAATATAAAGATAATAAATTTGAATGCAAAAGATAATGGGAGAAGAGTAATATATGATATATGAAAAATGTATAAGAAATACTCGAGCAATAGCTTTATCCGTGAAATTGTTGGAGATTGGAGAAATTTTATGGTATTTTTAGTGTATAAAATAATTTTACGAGATACTTTACACAAGAATAAAGAACCTTCAACTGCCAAATAAATGAAAGACAATGTTAAATGATTAATCGTAAAATATCGAATGAAATATCACGAACATCTGCACTTGTTAGTATTCCATTATTCAGAAGCAAGGGGTTTTTTCATTCCAATTGGGAATTTTATTTTGTAATGGTGATTTTTTTTTTCAAGTTGTATATTTGTAGGCTTCAGCTATCGGTTTTCTTTCGTACTGTACATAATCGAAATGATGAAACTGTGGGGCAAAGTAAAAATCGTATTCCATTAATCTAGTAGAATGTATCCTTCACATAAAAGTTGTTATTTAGGATTCCCTCCGAGTGTTTTTATCATTAAATATTTATGTATTTATATGTGTGCACATATCCTTCAGAAAACGAAATAAATGTCATATGTGTTTGACTGGGAATTTTTCTTTTTCCATCTCTTTTCAGGATTCACATTCATTTGTTTATTGTTTGGGCTATTCAATACTCAAATATAATAAATGAATTTTGAAATAGAATAACAATGACGGTGGGATAACCCACCCTGTAGCTTCATAATTCATTAAATTATCTTATCATTCATGTTTGGAAATTTTGTATGTTCACATGAAACAATTTCTCCCTTGATAATCATCAGAAAACTATTTTGTTGATTCACACATCTTTTAATTGTTGAACTTTGCTCTTCCCCTCAGCACCAGAGCTACATTTTTTGTTCGAGAAATTTGTACGAATGATTCAACGAGATTGCTGTTTGCTTGTCGTTTCGGCTATTCAATACTCAAATACAATGAATGAATTTTTAAATAGAATAACAATGACCGTCTCAAAATGATGAGACCCATAATTAATTTGTCCCCCTCCCAGTGATAATTGCATTGAATAAAAAATCGTCTGGAGCATTGAATCAACACGGGCCCTAGGTTTTATAGATTTTTATTATTAAACCGATTTATACAGAGGTATTATTACGCAGCAGGGTCGTCGCCCTTGGTGGTGCGGGTGTAGATGAGCTGGGCATGGTGCTGGACCACCTGCTTGATCAGTCCCTTCTGCTGGAGCTCGATGAGGGCTCGCCTCGCGAGTGAACCTCTGATCTTCAGCCTCTCACTGACGATCGATGGGGTGATGAGCTTGTACTGGGGTACTTCCTTCAGAAGTTTGTCGTATGTGCCCTTGTCGAACAGCACCTGATTGTTCAACTTGTCACGGACTTTTCCCTTGGACCACTTCTGCAATTGTTCAATCAACAAAACAAATCAATAATCGTTCATGATACTCTCCTAACGATACTTCAGATGGAATTCCTCTACTTTTTATTGAATAACTTCATCAGTCTCATTAAATCAGATTTTTGCTATCACAGAATATCAAGCAAGGTTTTTGTACATCATTTAAAGTTATTCCATTAATTTATGTTCATTTTTCAAATTGTTCTTAATTTAATTTATCAAATGTTTATTAATCGTTTTTACGAAATTAATTCACCTGTTTTGAATTATAAAATATTTGAAAGGAATTGTGTGATAAATATTTAGGAAAATTCATGAATTATATTTTCTATAAATATTACAAAATATTTATAACTTTGAAAACTTTTTTTGATTTCGAAAAAATTATTCTTCAATCATTTTATGAATCTCTCCCTTCAAGTCGACATTCTAATTTTTTCATCAGATTCTAAAAATGTTTCTTGACCATAGACAATCAAATTTGGACTTTCCAAGTCAAAAATAAAATTATTGCAGAATATTTGGAAATATAGAGTCAATTGGGGGTTTAATAGAATCTCTGGCGTTTACCATAAATAAAAAAAAATTAAAATACAACGAAAGAATAAAAGTATTGACCTTCTTTTTAGCCTTGCCCCCAGACCCTCCCTCCTTCTTCTTCTGGGTTTTCTGGGGCTGCTTGGACGACCCCTTCGTGTCCTTCTTGGGCGGCTGAAAAATACCCAAAAACATTAACAATCAACATTAATAACCAACAACCCCACCCTCCCAACCCCCAAATTAGAGGTTAGAATCTCAAAAAATCTCCCGAACCCCTAAAAACCCCCAAACAATCCAAAAAATCAGGAGAAAAATCTTAAAAAATGGTAGAGCCTCCTCAGAACATAATTTCAATCTCCAAATGAATTAAATTAAACGATTCATAACTCCACGAGCACCCCAAAGGCCATGTGGTCCCACTCCACACCTCCCCAGCTCCAAAATGCATAAAATAAAATTCACTGGACACTCATATAAACAATTAAAAACGAATCAGAATCTCCACTGGGATTTCCTCGATTTATTAACGACGAGAGGACGACGGATTCTCTCGTAATTAATTAAATAATTCAACAAACACTGGACGCGAGCACTTACCATGATGGCTGACGACTCGGAAAGAGCAGGAACGAGAGCCGGAAGTCACCGACACGCCATTCTCACCTCGCGAGTCAACAAAACGTCTCGTTCCACTCACCGAAATCAAAATAAAAAAAGGATCAATCGTCTCGCTGGGTTTTGGAATAAAAAAATTTAGTTTTGTGATTGAAAATTTTTATTGAGGCTCCTGGGGGCATTTTTGGTGACTGAAGTTGTGGAATTGACAGGAGTGGCTGAAGCGTGTTCGACCATGGGACATGGCGGTTAACCCAGTGTATTATTCCAGCCGGAATCCCCAGTATTCTCGATAATCAGGCAGAATCATGAGCAAATTAATCCTCGGGAAGTAAAGGAGAGAATCAACTGGAGTGTTTCGGCGAGGACAGTCTGTGGGGATTATCGCAACTATTTTTAAGGTATTTATTCGGGGGGGAGGGACCTTAACCTGTAATTGACGTGTACGTGTCACTCGTGACAATTAAAGGAACATCCTTTAATTGCTTTTTTTGGAGTTTGGAAAATTGGGGATTAGGGGGCTGGAGGGCGGAGGTGGCTCTGGGGGTGATCTTGGGGGGTTCTGGGGAGGGAATTCGAGGCAATATGGTACGGAGCGGAGTTCATGCTCCAGTGGGTTTTACTGGAGTTCTGAGTATTTTTAAAAAATTGTAAAATGAGGGGAGATCATTTGGAGGATAGAAAACTAATATTTTAGTTTATTTGGCAGTCTAACAAAATTAGCCACGAAGCTGGAGCGAAATTATCACTCGTGATAATTTAGGGAAAATCCTACGGTTTTTTTAGTTAAAGAAATTAATTTAATTTTAATTTTTCCAAATATTTTAAACCATATTCTTGAAGTATTTGTTCATTTGTCGGTTCGTAATTCTTTCGAATCCAATTTTTTTATAAAAAAACGTCAGCGGAATATTATGGGCTAAATAATTTAAAAAAAAATAATTTTATCCAGATTTTTCACGTTTTTTTAATCAAAGAAATTAATTTAATTTTGATTTTGCCAATTATTTCAAACCATATTCTTCAATTATTTCTTCATTCGTGAGTTCTTAATTTCTTCAAATCGTATTTTTCAATCGAAGAAATCGTCAGCGGAATATTATGGGCTAGAGATAATTTGAAAAAAAAATTTAATCCATGTTTTTCACGTATTTTTTCTTTTACTATTTTGTATTCTTTATTTTTCAACCTAAAAAATTTATTGGAATGTCCAGGGGCCAGGGATAACATCCAAATCAATTTTAATGCGTTCTGAAGGTAATTAAGTGTGATATGTCACGTGAGTCGTTTCTCGTTCTCCAATCGATTTCTTGAATATTATCCACTCCAAAATGTGAGACCATTAATCGTGATGATAACTTCGTTATTTCTCATTCTTCAGCTCTTGTATCTCATTTCAAAAACTGTTGTCGAATCTTCACGAGACAGAGATAATATTTAAATCAATTCGCTGATGCATATTTTTAATGAGCGATATGTCACGTTCGAAATATCACGCTCCAGTTCTAAATTATTTAATGAAACTCGTTTAATTAAAGTAGAGTCATCACTCGTGACAATTACACGCGAATCCTTCAATTTAAATTTCAATTCAAAAAATATTCTTCAGAATCTTAAAGGGCTATAAACAATTTCAAAATCCATTTTACATTTTCTTGAGGTGCAATGTTACGTTATTATTATTATTATTATTATTATTATTATCATTATTATTATTATACTATAATTATTATATTATTATTATAATGAAATAATAAATTATTATAAAATAATAATAATAACAATAATTTTAGTAATTACTCATTAAGTTTCATAAAATGAAAATAAAATAAAAGCTCATGACAATTAAAAAAAAAATCTGTCAATTTTCATTTCTTCAAAAAAAAAAAATATTCTTCATAATCTTGAGGGCCTCTGATAATTTTAAAATGTTTAAATGTACATCTTCGATTGTTCTTTCAATTCTAAACTCTTTCTCTCCCTTCCTTATTTTTTTAATTCAAAAAATATTCAACCAAATCTTCAGCGACCAAAGATAATTTTCTTCTCAAAGCAATCAGCCCGATACGTCACGTTCGTAATATGTCGTGCTTAAATAATTCTCACCAATCACATCTCACGCAGAATAAACAAAGAACGTGTGTTCATTATCAGATAAACTTCAGTTGATGCAAAACTCCTCCTGACACCCCATGAAGGTGTAAAACTGATTTAATGAGACTGATGAAGTCAACTAGAAAGACTGAATAAAAAGCCTCGATTTTCCCTAAACTGAAGGTGCTTTTCCTGTTCCAGAAACACAAGACCTCGAAGGCAACTCCACGATGCTTCCGCTAACGCACAAGGACTCCCGGAGTTTCGGTAGCCGAATAAAAGAGAAGATAAACGGCTGGACGAGATTGATATTCTCGGACAAGAACACGCGGAATCTCTTCCTCTTTCTCCTCCTGAACTTCTCGTTCGCGTTCATCGAGCTGATCTACGGCATGTGGACGAACAGCCTGGGTCTCATATCGGACAGCTTCCACATGTTCTTCGACTGCACAGGTCTGATCTTCGGTCTGATCGCCTCGGTGATAACGAAATGGCGAGCGAACGATCGTTACACTTACGGTTACGTGAGGGCAGAGGTGCTGGCGGGCTTCGTGAATGGCTTATTCCTGCTGTTCATAGCTGGATTCATCATGTTCGAGGCGATTGAGCGAGCAATAGAGCCCCCAGAGGTCAAGCACGAGCGGCTCTTCGTGGTCTCTGTCCTGGGGCTTCTAGTGAATTTGGTTGGAATTTACGCCTTTCAGCATGGCCACGGCCACAGCCACGGGGGTGGAGGGCACGGGCACTCCCACGGGGGCCATGGACACTCCCACAATCACAATCACAGTCACGGGGGCCACGGCCACGACCACCACGACATTGAATTCGAGTCCTCATCGTCGGGAAATTCGCAGATCATGAAGAGTGTCTTCCTCCACATTCTCGCTGACACTCTGGGATCAGTCGGGGTCATTGTCTCAGCTGTTCTCATGCATCTCTTCGGCTGGATGATTGCTGATCCCATTTGCTCCATGTTCATTGCTCTTCTCATCATCATCAGTGTGGGATCACTGCTCATGGAGTCTGGGGTCATTCTCATGCAGAGGCAACCTGCTGCTCTCGATCATCTTCTACCTCAGTGCTACAATAGGATTAAGAACCTCTCTGGGGTTTATGATGTGCAGGAGCCACACTTCTGGACACTGTGCTCGGACATTTATGTCGGCAGCTTGAAGCTCGAAGTCGCCAGGACTGTTGATGCCAAGTATGTGCTTGCACAGACGCAGATGATATTTCATGCCGCTGGCGTCAGGCATCTCACAGTTCAGCTGGATTACACGCATACGTGATCCGAGGGGGGGGATGAACTCCTCAGGGGGTTCTGAGGACTCGCGGGTGCCTGATTTTTTTAAGAACATTGGGGCAGGTGATTCAGGAGCGAAGTGGTCAAATGGTTTAGGTCGATTTTGGATGTTGGCCAGTTTTCAGGGAATATCTCGGAATCTGAGGGGGATAGCAAAAATTTTGTTGGAACCTTTTTTGTAGCACTCAGTTCACTCTACAAAAAAGGTCATTACGAAAATTTTGCTATCTCCCTTAAATTCTGAAATATTTCTGAAAAACTCAACGAAAGACTAAATCGATTTGAACCGTTTTACCACTTCGCTACTGAATTATTGGGTGGGGAATGGGGTTTTTGGCGCCGGAAAGGCATTTTGGGGGGAGTTTTTTGAGGGATTAAAACGTTTGGGATCAGAGTGCAGGAGTAGGAAAGAATGGGGTAAAATGGCCATTTTTTTTGTTAGGTTTCTCAAAGGGAAACGATTCAGAGTTAATTTTGACTATTGGGGAGTTTTCGATTAATATCTGGGGATCTGAGGGAGATGGCAAAATTTTTGGTATAAGCTTTTCTGTAGAGCCGATTGAGAGCTACAACAAATGTAATTACGAAAATTTCGCTATCTCCCTTAGATTGGGGAATATTCCTCAAAAATTGAACTGGGAGATGAGTCGACTTAAACCGTTTCTAATTTAATTTCCATTTTATTGGTTTCATTTGGAATTAAATTTCATTTCCAATTAAATGGAAATTGAATGAGCTGAAGACATTTAAAAAATTAACTATCCATTTTGCCCCATTAGCCCCATGTGTTTAATATTTTCTATCCAATTTGCATAGTTAGAAAATGAAAAATTTTGTGTAAAAATTTTTGAGTTCCTGAGGGGGTTCTCAGCATTGGAGAGTGTATGGATTATTTTTAAGGAGAAAATTGTGAAATGTGAGAACTGAATGCAGTTTGCGAAGTTTATAGCTGAATTATTTTGGATTTTTTTCATTCTTTATACGAATTCCAGTGTAAATACAATTGCTGTAGAGAAGATACATCACTAATTTTTCTTTTGAGGTGCGCTTGAGGTTAATAATTACTGCCAAATCCTTGGACACGTGTGCCACACTGAGAGAAGAATTTATTAGTGCCAGAAAAATTAATTTGAGAGAGAAATTGAGAGTGGAATTTGCTCATCTCAGATAAATTAATTTGGAGTTGATAAAATTGCTGTCTCAGTGCAAGAGATGAATAGTTGTTGAATATTTTTACTTTGTTGTGAGGGATATTTGATATCCCCTTGACCATCCAGTTTTTCTCCATCTCGATGCATTTGTGGGGGACATTTGGAGATAGGATAATAGATTTTTTGTAATAGGACATTCCTAACTGTGACTCAGGGACACAAAGTCTCTGTTCTCGATCATTGGAGCGTGGATTCCGGTCAAGGACGAAAATTTTCGTGATTTATTAACTGAGTAATAATCGCCCGGTTTTTTTAATAAAGTCTTTATTATATATGTGGAGAGTGGGAGGATAACTAGGCGATAAGATGTGTACATAATCATGAATACTAGATTAATAAAATACTATGGTTTTATTTGGCGTCATCGAGTTTTTCAATTATTTGTATCGTCATCGTTATTCTATTTAAAAATTCGTTTGTTGCATTTGAGTACTGAATAGCCGAAACGACAAGAAAATAGCAATCTCGTTGAATCATTCATACAAATTTCTCGAACAAAAAATGTAGCTCTTTGGTGCTGAGGGGGAGAACAAATTTCAACAATTGAAAGATGTGTGAATCAACAAAATAGTATTCTGATGATCATCAAGGGAGAAATTGTTTCATTTGAACATACAAAATTTCCAAACATGAATGATAAGATGATTCAATGAATTATGGGTCTCATCACTTTGAGAATCTGCATTCTGCGGATTATTTCCCATAGATTGTCCGATCGAAAAATCTGATCTGATGCTGAACATTTAGGTAATACTTTGTTCATGTTTCTCTCGAGATTTGGAAGACGCAGCATGAACATGTAGATATTTTGTCTCTGCTTTCAACAACGAAACATTAGGCTCGAGAGGCTGATCATTCGCGGGGAGAACGTGCCATTTCAGGATGAGAATATCTCTCGTAAAGTGAAGCTCAATGAAAAATATTTCGTTCGAAGTCACAGGGTTGCTATCCCATCGTCATTGTTATTCTATTTAAAAATTCATTTGTTGTATTTGAGTATTGGATAGCCGAAAGGACAAGCAAATAGCAATCTCGTTGAATCATTCATACAAATTTCTCGAACAAAAAATGCAGCTCTTTGGTGCTGAGGAGAAAGCAAATTTCAACAATTAAAAAATGTGTGCATCAACAAAATAGTATTCTGATGATTATCAAGGGAGAAATTGTTTCATTTGAACATACAAAATTTCCAAACATGAATGATAAGATGATTCGATGAATTATGAAGCTACAGGATTGTCATCCCATCGTCATTGTTACTCTATTAAAAATTCATTCATTGCATTTGAGTATTGAATCGCCGAAATTACAAGCAACTAGAAATGCCATTCTCTGTTCTGTCAAAAATTCAAATCTCCACTTTCGATTGTTTTTCGCATTTTCCAAAAACGTAATGGCCGACGCATGACATACCCCGGACTTTTCACTCACTCTCCAGTAACCGACAGGTGGAATCGATAATCCAAAATTCTAGTTGCTGAAATTGATTTGGAAAAAAATTTATTGAAAACTGAGGTGGAAAATTATCAAATGAATCAATGAGGAGATTTTGGTATGGCAACGAGACTGAGCTCACTGAGCCCAAGAAACTCGGAGATAAGCGCTCTTGAGGAGCGAGGGTACATCATCGGGAAGAAGATTGGACAGGTCAATTAACTGTGACATTTACCTCTTTCCTATCCATTCACTGCTGACAACATAATAAACGAATCTTTCAATTTCCGTTAATTGTACGTTTATCTCGGTAACGAGTCCCCTCAGGTCAAAATAACAGAAAACCTTTTTTGTGGGGAATTTAATTTCCTACAAAAAATATCATATCACATTTTCCTCTAAAACCACTCGTTATCGAGATAATTTAACATTTCTGAAGACGAAAATTGAGAGCTGGAGAATTCAGTCATTTTGCTTTGCGCGGTTTCACAATTCCCCTGATTGAAATGTTCTATTCGTCAATCAGGGATCCTATGCCACGGTACACCTCGCTGAATATGTTGCCGGCAGCGGAACGAAGAAAATGCGCCTCGCGTGCAAGATATTCGACAGGGAAAAAGCGCCCAGTGATTTCCTCGATAAATTCTTTCCACGTGAGCTCGAGATTCTGACGAAAATCGAAAACCCTCACATCATACAAGTAATTCCTTTTTATCCTCGTAAACATTTCTTATTTTACCTTTTAGGGCTTCAGGAATTGATGAAGAAATTGAATACAATTGAATAGAAATTGAATTGAATAATTAAAATTACAGGAAAATAATGCAGTAGCGAAGCGGTAAAACTGTTCAAGTCGACTTAGCTCAGAATCTAAGGGAAATAACGAAATTTTTGTATAAACCTTTTTTGTAGAGCGCATTGAGGGCTACAAAAAAGGTGATGACGAAAATTTTGCTATCCCCCTTAGATTTCGAGATATTCAATAAAAGCTGGTCAATAGTAAAAATCTACTTGAACCGATTCAACGAGATTGCTATTTGCTCGTCGTTCCGGCTATTCAATACTCACACACAATAAATGATTTTTAAATAGAATAACAATGACGATGTGATGGCAATCCGCAGAATGCGGCTCCCCATCATAAACTTCGTCACGTCCCCTTTAAAACCCTCCGCCCCCAGGTCCACAGTATCCTCCAGCGCGGGCCCCGAGTCTTCATCTTCATGCGCTGCGCCGACAACGGGGACCTCCTGGACTACGTCCTCCGCCACAAACTCGTCCCCGAGCAGCAGTCCCAGACGTGGTTCCGTCAGATGGCCTCGGGCCTCCACTACCTCCACTCCAAGAACATCGCGCACCGCGACCTCAAGTGCGAGAACATCCTCCTCTCCCGAAAGTTCCACGTGAAGCTCGCGGACTTCGGCTTCGCCCGCTTCTGCGTGGACTCGGAGAACCGCCGGATCCTCAGCCACACGTACTGCGGCTCCGCGGCCTATGCAGCACCGGAAGTCGTCTCCGGCACACCGTACAACCCGAAATTGGCGGACGTCTGGTCCCTCGGGATCATCCTCTACATAATGCTCAACGGGACGATGCCCTTCAACGACGACAATCTCACGAAATTGCTTCGCGATCAGATGTCCAAGAACTGGGTTTTCGGGTCAAGAATACAGGAAACTGTCTCGTCAACGGCTAAAAGCGTTGTACGTCACATCCTCGAGCCGGATATTACTCAGAGGTTCACCCTTGATAAGGTGCTATCGCACGAGTGGGTGCGGGGTAGGAGGGATAAATCGTCGAATGGGGGTAAGAGCATCCATTCTGCTCAGCAGTCGCAGGTCATGGGGATGAGACTGTTCAAAAATGCGGAGAAATTGCAGGAAAATAGCGCAAAGTCTTCTAAGGATGCGGCGCACAGTGAGAACTCACAGAAAAGAGAGAGCAAAGTCTGAAAATTTGTACAGAATTCTTCGTGTTCGATTTTTGCATGGAAAATAAAATAAAGAACTCAATTTTTGAATAATAATATTGATAAATTTGTTTCATTAATGAGTTATGGGATTGATTTCTTGAAAAATGTGAATTATAGTCTTATGAGACTTCAAAAATGGGGAGAAATTGCAGGAAAATGGCGGAAAGTCTTCTAAGGATGCGGCGCACAGTGAGAACTCACAGAAAAGAGAGAGCAAAGTCTGAAAATTTGTACGGAATTCTTCGTGTTCGATTTTTGCATGGAAAATAAAATAAAGAACTCAATTTTTGAATAATAATATTGATAAATTTGTTTCATTAATGAGTTATGGGATTGATTTCTTGAAAAATGTGAATTATAGTCTTATGAGACTTCAAAAATGGGGAGAAATTGCAGGAAAATGGCGGAAAGTCTTCTAAGGATGCGGCGCACAGTGAGAACTCACAGAAAACAGAGAACAAAGTCTGAAAATTTGTACAGAATTTTTCGTGTTCGATTTTTGCATGGAAAATAAAATAAAGAACTCAATTTTTGAAAAATAATATTAATAATTTTGGTTCATTAATGAGTAATGGGATTGATTTCTTGAAAAATGTGAATTATAGTCTTATGAGACTTCAAAAATGGAGAGAAATTGCAGGAAAATAGCGAAAAGTCTTCTAAGGATGCGGCGCACAGTGAGAACTCACAGAAAAGAGAGAGCAAAGTCTGAAAATTTGTACAGAATTCTTCGTGTTCGATTTTTGCATGGAAAATAAAATAAAGAACTCAATTTTTGAAAAATAATATTAATAATTTTGGTTCATTAATGAGTTATGGGATTGATTTCTTGAAAAATGTGAATTATAGTCTTATGAAACTATTCAAAAATGGGGAGATTGCATTATGGAATTAATTTCTTAAGAAATGGAACGTGATGGAAACTGAAGTCTAAAAATTTTTACATGATAAATAAAATAACACTCAATTTTCGAATAATATTAATCTTCATTATACAACTATTATCTATATAATATACAAAACTAGAATTTTTCATGTATAATTTTTGGTTAAATTTACATACGAATAATAAGTAGAAGCATTAAAATCGATGAATAATGAATAACGGATGATAAGTGAAAAGAAAATAAAACATTGCTCTCACATTAACCAATAATTTACAGTTTACATCGATAAAATATTCAACTGCTGCAGGTAAGCACCTTGTGACGTAGAACACCCACCAGAGCCTGCAGCAGTGACCCTCAGATAAAAGCTCAAAAAAAAATCGAGACCTCATTTCCCGGCCTGAAATCGTTAAATTAAAATAGTAAAAAAATTCTCGTTAAAATATTAAAATAAAATTCTTTAGACACACGTATCGTACTCCATATTCATCATGATATACCACACGACAACTCCAACTAACTCGATTGACAAATCAATCATTCGACAAAGAATAGTAATTGCAGGCACTAGGGTACCTCCTATCCACGTACTCAGGTATTAGGCACTTTACATAAATAATCGGTGGACACGAATATTGATTGGATCCACCGGAAGACTCCCCCGACATCTTTATGTACAAAAAGAAAAGCCATTCTCGTGAGTGGAGGGGGTTTACACCCACCCCCCAGTCAACTTGTGGAACATCTCCTCGTTGAGAGTCTGATTGGCCTCCTTGGACCTCATCGAGAGGAAGATGTACCCCCCGATGAACTCATGAACGACTTTGCAGTCAGCTGATTGCGTCTCGAAGATGATGTTCTCCTCCTCGAACTGCACCATCATGTGCTTCACCTCCCAGTTGACGTTCCACGCCTTCATGGTGTTGTATCTCCAGGTCTTGAGGTGATCCCCACTGTGCAGATCCATCCTCATCAATCTGTTGTTGGCAATCCCCAGGAGTTCGTCCTTGGTCTTCGGTGAGAACCTGACGATGAAGAGGGAGATGCCATACTCAGGGAGGGATTGCCAGGCTTTTATGTAATTCAACTTTGCTTCGACGAGGGGAAGGTCCTTGACGTTGGCGTGAGCCTCCAGGATTCTTTGCACGAGCTTTCCCTTGAGCTTCTTCGCGAATCTGGGGGCCACGTAGTCCTCGGGGATTATGTCGAGGGAGTTGGGACTTATTGCTGGGGCTGGGGCCGGTCGCTGCAGCTGGAGGAAAGCTGTTATGCTGTTCACCTCGCTTTCGTATGAGGAATCCGCTAGGGAACGCCCTTTGGCTGCTAGGCGACAGGCTGCCATCCATTTCGCGTATTGTTGCTCCTAGAAATGATCAATTTTTCATGAACTCGCATTTAATAAATTATTTTAAGGGTTTCAGGAGTAAACAACATTACTGGAATGCTGAGAAGACTTTGAGATAGGAATTCTCAGCTAAAAGGAGACGAAAGAATTCGGTAGATGATTTGAAAAAATTGTTCCGTTCACAAAAATTGAATAAACTGAGTTGAGGGTGATTTCAATGGCATAAATAATTACAAGAAATGTTTGAAAATGCGAAGTGGTTGGGGTGTAGGCGCCGCCATCTTGAGTGGATACCCCCTCCCTCTGCCAAAGGGTTTCAAAGATGGCGGCGCCCTCACCTCGCATTTTTAAACATTGCTTAAATTTATTTATTCTCGTCAGATCAGTTTCAACTTTTTGCATGCAATTCTTATGAAAGGAACAATTTTTTAAAGCCATCTGTCAAATTTTTTCATTCCCTTTTAGCTGAGAATTCATGGCGTCAATTTTTTTTTTCCAATTTCAGTTTTCTTTTGCCTCCGGAACCTCTTATCAATGAATTATTCTCCAATTTTCTTTATCCTCAGGTAATCTTAGCAGCGAAAACAATGGAAATGCCAAATAAATTGATTTTTCATCGATGGATTCATGAATCGATTATTCATTATCAAAAATATTAACTGATTGACAAGTATGGGCACCGCCATCTTGCTTCCCTCTCCCTCTATCAATGATTTCAAAAATGGCGGCGCCCTCACCTCGCGTTTTCAAACATTTCTTAAAATTATTTATTCTCTTCAGATCAATTTCAACTTTTTGCATCCAATTCTTATGAAAGGAACAATTTTTTAAAGCCATCTTTCAGATTTTCCCATCCCCTCTTCGCTGAGAATTAATGGCCTCAATTTTTCCTCACATTTTTTTTTTTCTACTTCCGGGCCTCTCAGCGAATTATTCTCCACCTTCTCAAATCATAAAATTAAAAATATCTCATTCATCACCAGCGAAATCAGTTAAAATTCCAAATAAATCGACTCTCCACCACGAAATAAAATCCGTAATGGATTATTCATAAAATTAATGTCAACAAATCCTTGAAACTCACAGTTTCACATCTGATCCACATCTCCGTCATGCCATCAGCGCTGGGCACTTCGAGTCTAATCCCATAACGTCCCTGAGAGAGATTGACATCAGGTGTGACTTCACACCCACGTAGATTAATGACATGAGCAGGTGGCTCTGAGCTGTTGCTCTCCTCCCTGGTTTTATACAATCTCAGCTGTAAATCACGACAGGTGAACCAGTATCTCTTGTAGGCTTTGAGGGTGAATCGTTTGGGCTTGAAGAAGCGGAGGTAGTCGCAGAGCTCAGGCACCTCCATTATATTGCAGGAGCCGTTGCTGATGCTGCTGCCCTCCAATGTCACCTGGAGATCCGTCAGGGCAGCGTCGATATCGTCCTCTACCGGTGATGACGTGCCATTCGTCTCGTAGTTGGGCTGGGGAACGCTCGCCTGGAGGTTCACCTGGACCTGCGGCCCGAGAATAAATCATGCATTCAAAAGTCTCCGGATGTTTCAAGGGGTTTTTAATACCGGGGGATTATTGCTCAGGGTTTTTTCTTTGTTTGAACGTATCGAGACAGTATTATCGATCGCAACTGGACGTAGGTGTGTTACAAACGAAAACACACTGGGGTCATCGACGTGGGTCGTCGCGAGTGGGACGTGGGAGAGGTGAAGGAGGATTTCACCACGCCAATTTTGGTATCTGCGTCGGCTGATTATTCCCACTTTTTTGTTAAACATTTCCGTTTTCTTATTTATCGAGGGCTCTTGCCGGAGGTTTTCTTCGAGACGCTATTCAGACGCCTACATCATCTACGGGGAACTAAATGTATTTTGAATTGGATAATGCGCGTACGGGAGGTGGGGCAGAGTGGAGCGGTTGTGATCTACTTTAATTTTTGATATCTTTGTTTGTGAGGAGATATGGGGATTTGAGACGAGGATAAATGGCTTATTTTGCCACATCTGCCATTATCGGGAATATATTCCTAATGTTTTGATGGAGCAAGACACTTATGCGGGATTGAATAGTCATTTGTCTGGCACACGAACGATTGGGGTTCTAATCCCGAATGTTTGTTTTTTGGGCAGAATATTTATTTACTCGTGCATTCATTTTTATGTAATTTTTGCATGTGAATATATGATTGAGAATATTTCAAAATGTAAAGATTGGCTCATTTGTGTACGTGAATAATATACAAAAATGATACAGGCGAAATATATTTTAAAATATATATTTCACTGTCTGGCATGTGAACGATTGAGGTTCCACCCCAAAATATAGAAATTTGGCTCATTCTTAAATATTTTGACATATCGAGCCATTCTTTTGGTGTATTGAATAGCTACTTGTCTGGCACACGAACGACTGGGATTCAAATCCCCGATGATCGTCCATTTGTTTAAAAAATATGTGATTGAATATATTTTAAAATATATATTTCATTGTCTGGCATGTGAACGATTGAGGTTCCACCCCAAAATATAGAAATTTGGCTCATTCTTAAATATTTTGACATATTGAGTCATTCTTTTGGTGTATTGAATAGCTATTTATCTGGCACACGAACGACTGGGATTCAAATCCCCGATGATCATCCATTTGTTTAAAAAATATGTGATTGAATATATTTTAAAATATATATTTCATTGTCTGGCATGTGAACGATTGAGGTTCCACCCCAAAATATAGAAATTTGGCTCATTCTTAAATATTTTGACATATTGAGTCATTCTTTTGGTGTATTGAATAGCTATTTATCTGGCACACGAACGACTGGGGTTCAAATCCGCGATGATCGTCCATTTTTGAAAAAATATGTGATTGAATATATTTTAAAATATACATTTCATATATTTTGGGATGTGAATAGTTACTTTTCTGGCACACAAACGACTGGGGTTTAAATCCCCAATGGCCTCCACTTCTGGACAAAAAATTCATTCCACAAATCACTCAGAGTTACATATCCCTCCCCAATTCTCCATCCACACAACAAACTCTGCAATATCATCAGCATATTCCACCTATTCACAGCCATGTATTCCTCCCCACGAAGAATATGGATCGAAACTAATGTTTCACGGGGACGTAGGGTATAATCTCGTGATAAAATAGGTGTAGGTGTCTGTGAGAAATGGATCGATGAATAAACCGCAAAAGAAACTGAGCATTTTCTCCACGAGACAATGAACCCGCAAAAAATACCTGAAGTGCCGCAAACATGAGCATCTCCTCCTCGGTGCAATCAATTTCCTCGGCGAGTAGTTGCCACTTTGCCTGTTCGTAAATCATATTTATCCTCACAGCATCGGTTTTTGGATTAAGATCGTAGAACGAGTAGAACTTGAACTTGAGACGAAGTGTGTCGAATTCACGAATGCCCTGTTCCATTATCGAGAGCGATGAGTCTAGCCAAGCGACATTCATCCTCGCACGTTCAATTAAGCTCTTCGGGCGGATTAATTTCGACCGAATGTCCGGTGATACGGAGGCGGGGCTCTGCGCCAGGGACTCGGATAATCCACCGTTCAATGCCTCCAGAGACATTGTGCTGTTGTTTGCGTTGAACGAGCCAGTGCTGCCGAAACCCGAAGAGTTGTTGTTGCGCTTCCATGTGCCTGTGTGCTGCAAAGATAGGAGGTGAGCAGCTTGTCACGGACGAAAAATTTTTATAGAAAAACCTATCGAATTCGTTAGAAAATTCTATTGAATTTCTATTAAACTGTTCTCTTAGTTTTTGGGCGATTCTATTGGAATATTCAATAAAAAATATTCAATAGAATAAGTGAATGGAATTCAATTTAAAAAAAAATCTGAATTTGAAGAAATCTGAATCTGAATTTTTTTGACGAAAAATCTGATTTTTTTTTCTTTAGATGAGAAAAAATCAAGAATTTTTTTGACACCTCATAAAAAATAACCCGTTTTCACGAAATAATCCGAGCGTATTCACGAGATGTATGGCGCACCTCAGGAAAGAAAAATTGTTCTTAAAAACTGGACAGACCATTGGAAAAAAAAATATGCGGCAAAATCGGGATGAAGGAATGAAAAACCGTAAAAACCGAAAAGTACAGGTGAAATGAAATTTTAAAAAAATGAAAAATCAGTTACTGTGACTGGAGAGCTGATCGGAGTGCTGTGATTTCTGTTGTTCGGTGTCACCGGTGCGCAGAGAAACGGGCTGTTCTGCTCGAGACTGCTGTTGGAGCCCTTGGGGCTCTGCGTGACCGGTATAAAGGTATTGGTGTCCGCAGGAACATTCCACTGGCCATTCCTCTGGTTCTCAATCTTCTTCTTAGCCGACAAATCCTTCAAGTTGCATTTGAGGTGATGTGGCTCCAGTGGCTTGCAGAACGACAACTCCTCAGGATGCCTAATCCCTGTAATCGAACAGATGTGAATTGAAAAAAACATTATTAACTACTGTCTTCACCTTCGTCATCACAATGACTCGATCATTATCTCTCATTAACCCAGTTGCCTTATTACCAGCGTCAGGCACGATTCACGACCTTCGCGTGACACTCTTCCATAATTATTCACCTCTTTTACTACAATTCTCGGGGTGGAATTATTCGAAAAATTGTTGGGAGTGAGACGTACCGAGTTCCTTGCACAGATTTATAACTGCGTTGAAAGTCTTTACGGAAAAATCAACACGACAGTCGAGGCATCGCATATCCGGCAGCTGTACACGAAGGGTTTTATGCATTGGCGTGAAGTGTAATAAAGCGTCAGCAGCAACTCCGTATTGGTCCAGGGTACTGCGGGTTCTGGTTAACCAGTAATTTCGCTCGGACCACCAGAGTGCATGGTCCGACCAGTCCATTGCGATGTCTGCAACAATAACCAAGGAATTCAAATCGGAAACAAAATATTTCATTTCAGTAACGAAGTGGTAAAACGGTTCAAGCCGACTCATCTCCCAGTTGAGTTTTTCGGGAATATCTCAGAATCTAAGGGAGATAGCGAAATGTCCGTAATTACATTTGTTGTAGCTCTCAATCAGCTCTACAAAAAAGGTTATAATAAAAATTTTGGTATCTCCCTTGGATTCCGAAATATTCATTGAAAACTGGTCAATAATCAAAATTGACTTGTACCGTTTTACCACTTCACTACTGATTTCATTCAAAGTTTTCGGGTTTTTTGTGGACGACAAAAATTGAGCCGAAAATATGCTTTGAAAAAAAATGAAATAAATAAAATAGAGTTAACGTTTTCAGGAAATTTTAGTATTCTCTCGTTGTATTCACAGTCTTAATGGCTTTCCGTCATCCCCCATTTCTATAATAGCTGTATTATTCCATCAATCTCACAGCTATCGTTTCCCCTTTACCACATGCCTCCGTGCGCTTGGTATCCGGGACATGTGGGTACCTCCCCCGCTTCGAAAATTCACCCCCGCAGTCGACATCTGCTTCCCGCGATGATTTAGAACCGAGTAAAGTCTGAAAGTGAAAATTTTTATCTCCGGTGATGAGAGTGGTGCACGCAACTCTTCATTTCAGAATCTGCTTCAGTATTTTTTCCCCTCCGGGAATGGTAATTGTCTTTGCGCCCCGAGGGATAGCCGGCCTCTCGCAAAAGTGCCACTCCCGAGAGGCTCACCCGCTCCTTCAGCCCCCAAGACACCCTTTTGACGAGAAGAAGACGTGAAGGGTGTCGGATAACTTCAAGAGCTTCATACCTTTCTCATCTTACAAAGAGGGAGAGAGAATAGTGGAAATGTGCGCAGAGACGAGGCTCGGCAATTTTCCGGGGAAAAAGGTCGGCCATCTGTCGGCCATTTTCTTTCACGGTCGATTGAGTTAGTTAGGGTGCCATGACCCTGGTCAATTGGACCACCAGCATGTGGGGGAGAAAATTTTTGGGACTTCTTTTTTTTCAATTTTTCAACAACAACACATCGAAATGGTTACTTGGCGCTTTTTCATGCGTCATTTGTTGATTTCAGACTATTCACGTGTCTAATGAAAAGATTAACTGCAAGAACTTGACGCCTTTTCTTACTTCTTATTTCTTCAATTTCCCAGGCTCAATCAACAATAAATGAAGTCTTTAACATTTTTCAACTTCACATGGAAATGGTTATTTGGCGCTTCGTCATGCATCATTTGTTGATTTTAGGCAATTCATCTGTCTAATGAGTCTTCAACATTTTTCAACTTCACATGGAAATGGTTTTTTGGCGCTTTTTATGCATTATTTGTTGATTTCAGACTATTCACGTGTCTAATGACAAGATTAACTTCAAGAACTTGACGCCCTTTCTTATTTCTTCAATTTCCCAGGCTCAATCAACAATAAATGAAGTCATCAACATTTTTCAACTTCACATGGAAATGGTTATTTGGCGCTTTTTTATGCGTCATTTGTTGATTTCAGACTATTCACGTGTCTAATGACAAGATCAACTTCAAGAACTTGACGCCCTTTCTTATTTCTTCAATTGCCCAGCATCAATCAACAATAAATGAAGTCTTCAACATTTTTCAACTTCACATGGAAATGGTTATTTGGCGCTTCGTCATGCATCATTTGTTGCTTTTAGGCAATTCACGTGTCTAATGACAAGATCAACTTCAAGAACTTGACGCCCTTTCTTATTTCTTCAATTGCCCAGCATCAATCAACAATAAATGAAGTCTTCAACATTTTTCAACTTCACATGGAAATGGTTATTTGGCGCTTCGTCATGCATCATTTGTTGCTTTTAGGCAATTCACGTGTCTAATGACAAGATCAACTTCAAGAACTTGACGCCCTTTCTTATTTCTTCAATTTCCCAGGCTCAATCAACAATAAATGAAGTCCTCAACATTTTTCAACTTCACATCGAAATGGTTATTTGGCGCTTTTTCATGCATCATTTGTTGATTTTAGGCAATTCATCTGTCTAATGACAAGATCAACTTCAAGAACTTGACGCCCTTTCTTATTTCTTCAATTTCCCAGGCTCAATCAACAATAAATGAAGTCCTCAACATTTTTCAACTTCACATGGAAATGGTTTTTTGGCGCTTTTTATGCATCATTTGTTGATGTCAGACTATTCACGTGTCTAATGAAAAGATTAACTTCAAGAACTTGACGCCTTTTCTTACTTCTTATTTCTTCAATTTCCCAGCATCAATCAACAATAAATGAAGTCTTCAACATTTTTCAACTACAACACATCGAAATGGTTACTTGACGCTTTTTTATGTATGTTTTAGTTCCCCTGAGGATCCTCAGACAATTCCCGTCTCAATACGTCTCACAAATGTCTCACAAATGTCTCTCAAATGTCTCATAGAGTTCAGCAAACAACTCCGAATAGATTAAATCCCACCAAAATTAAAAAGACTAGTGAAGATAGCCCCAACGACTTGCCCCCTCCCATCTTGACTCTTTCATTTTAATCAGCCCCTCAAGCCTGCATTTCGTTTATCATGTACAACTCCTCTAGCACTCGACGCGTGCCCCAATGCCTCTGAAGAACGGAAACCGTGTACGTTACACGTGTTTCCCATCCCCAACAGGATCGTCTGGATCGGATTTCCGTTGTTGGTTAGCATTTCTTGTTACCCAAATGTTTGAGATTGTGATGAAAAGGTTGTTTATACACTCGAGGACTGGCATTGTGGGTGGAAAACTCCAGCTTTGCGGAATTTCGCCGGTCTGGTGGACAGCTGTCGTCCATAAATAGCCCCGGGTGAACCGGCATTTCCACGGAAATTGACGATAAATAGCGAGGGAGATTTCAAACAGCCCCTAGTTAACCATTCCCGGAATGGCAATTTATATTGTTTGATTCCTGAATTCTTGCGGGCAATTTAACCGAGATTACTTGGAAGCTGTTGTTCAAGTGGAACATGAGCCAGTGGTTGTTTTACTCGTCTCGGCAGCCACATGGCTCATCTGGCTGAAAGTGTCCTGGCCAACGCCCGCGATATTTGGAACAATTTCTATTTATACTGGAATGTTTATGCTATTTATGATTTAACGGTCCAGTCGTTTCAGGAAATACCAGTGTCACGAAAGAATATCACGATTTCCTGGTTCAACTCGTTTACCTATTTCCGTCGAGTACATTGAGCCGTAAAAAAAATAGCACGAAGAATACATAAAATCTAGACGCTGTGTAAGCGAGGGAATATTGAGGTCTGCGGGACGTCGCCAACGGTTGATTTTCGACGGATGTGGGTCGTGGCGTACGGGCGTGACGACAATTATTAATTTAAACAAGTCCCATTCGATAATGACGGAAAATAATACTTCAACATTTGAATTTCATTTATCCGCGTATCCGGTTTTGAGAAACACATTTCGTTCCCTGAATCGGCTCTTGTGAGTGCACATTGCCCAGTGGCTTGGGGTAAAGAAACCCATAAGTGCTGGGAGAACCACAAGAAATCCCGGAGACCATTAACATGGCTGGAGAGTGAAGACATAAAAATTGTGGAATATTTTTCGTTCTTTATTATTGGAAAATAAAGTTGAGGGAGTTGCGGACGCGGTGAATTAACTCTTTACGAGTCCTTAAATGACTGTATAAGAAGGAAATAAAAGATGAAAAAATGCTTTAACGACCCAAACCATTACGATTTGACGAAAATTTACGTTTTATTTTGTGCCAAGGGTCATAATGGCAAGAAATTTACTAAAAATCAACTCTATTCTCACATCCCCACCTATAGGAACCTAGAGAACCCCAAGCATTCTCCTAAAACAAAAATAAACTCGAAAAAAAGAGAAATCAAGATAAAAGACTGCTGAGTACTTCATAATAACCCCTTTATTTTCCCTTAATTCTCATTGTACCCTTCACAAATCCTGAGTACATCGGGGTTCACTGGAAAAACATCGAGTGGATGTATGGACTTGCAGAGTGTACACACAAGGGGGCACGTGGCACAGGAGTTTTGTCAACAAGGGAAAGAAATTCAGCCGGGGGAATTGTAAAAGTTTCGTCAAAGAAGAGGGAAAAATACTTGTGGTGAATTTCGCATGAATTCCTCGTTGAATTTTCAACGGTTGCATTGTTGTGGCACCCCTCGGGTCGAGGTACAAAGAGGGTTGCAGAAGAAAAATATAAATCCCCAAGGCCTTTACAACTGGATATTGAAATATTAGTCTTCCCTCTGACGTGGCCAACGCCTTTTCTCAATTAACAGGATCTCTGTGACATTTTTTATGACTTCACGTGTTTGGATACGACGAATAAAAGGCGGAATGCATCGGGCTCGATTTAATTCTCAAGCATTTCTTCTTGTAAATGACAGGGGGAGGGAAATATTTGCGCCACTGGTGGGCCCTTAATTCACGCATCTAAAATAAGAAATGAGTCAGAGTCATCCTGGTATGCCTCTAACTGAAATGCTTAATACATTTGTATCACCCGTGGCGCCCGACAAACAGAATAGACTGGTATCTTTAAAGTTGGATGAATAAAGTACAGTTGAGTCGTTGAGTGTAACGAGGAAAAATAAATTCTAATGGTTGAAAAAAATTATTCATCATTTGTCGTTTTTCCCGTGACCTCCAACTTTGATGAACGAAAGAAATTTATTCATCAAAATGTTTCCTCAATTATTTTTTTTAACAATAGTCTCTCGTTTGACTAGGGTACAGCAACATAAATTATTTACTACAAAAGTCCAACACTGACGATAATTTTTATATTGGGCTTGGAATTTTTGTTTATTTTTTATGATTTTTCGAGATGTTTTCGACATTTTAATTCGCAAAATTTAAATGATGTTTATACTACTTTGAAGTAGTATGAATCGACTCCAGTTGGGTCGTTGAGTGTAACGAGAAAAAATAAATTCAAGAAGTAAAAAAAATTATTT